TTGCACCACTGCCCCTTCAATCCAGCTTTTGCAGTAACGTCTGAATTATTAAAATAGCTACAGCTCTCTAAGTGTCTGTAGTAGCAATAAAACACACAAACAAACAACAAATAAAAGCTTTAATCTAAAAATCATGAGTGGAATATTCAGAGTTTACTGTTCTGGTAAGAGTTGAAGGCTGATCATTTGTAAAATAGATGTAAAACAACAGACGGAAACCCAATATACTGTATGTTTGAACCTTCAAAGTGGTTGTGATGTGCTGATATGCTGCAATTAAACATTTAACAGCTGTGGTCAATTTCTCTATTAACTTGGATACACCCTTCCTTTGCAGCTTGACAGGTAAATAAAGCCTTAGAACAGGTTTCTAAATACAATACACCAACTGAAAATAAGACGAGGAGCTTAAAAAAATAGAAAACACTTGGACCCGAGCAGAGTCCCTAATCAATTTAAAGCTATTAAATGATGAACTTTGGGCGGTGATGATGGGTTGAATTCAAGGACACAGCTGCCAGGCATTGTCGCTTTGTGTTCATCCCTGAAGCGGATGCTGGGCCACAGGGAGAGGCAGACTTCGAGCCCGACATCAGCTCAGAGGCGGAGGCAGCTCCTCGAAAGGCTCTGGGAAGCGGGGAAGATGGAAGTAATACGCTGGACGGGCCACTAACGAGCCCCAAACTCACTCTCCCGGTTCAAAGTCTATGCCTACGCTCCTCTTCACAACCCCCCGCCCCCTTCACTCCTCACCTACATCTTTTACCATTGTCTATTATGCCGTCTGGCTGTCTGTCACAACTTTCCTTCTCCCCGCTGCCTCCTGAATGTCGACGTTTGGACGCATTGTGGCTGCCGTTGCACGAAACACATTACAACCGATTACTTACCAAAACTTTCACATGTTCCCCCGTACTCCTTCCTGTCACGGCGCAAGTCCAACATTTGCACATCCCCAAAGGCGGACCTTTCTGTAACCGAATCCCATCATAAGTATATCTTATCAGTTCACGATAGACATTATACTGTCCAGCCAGCTCAAGACAATCACTCTCAGTAAAGGTTGTGTATAGTTCGTCTAGGGGGAAGTCCAGGCTTTTGTCTAGACACTCCTTCTCCAACCTCGGCTCCTTGACCATTACTACTCCCATTATCAGCGGCGCGATGGAGGGGCGCGCCGCAGACGCCTAATGTATCCAATTTCCCCCCTCCCATTTAGGACTCGGCCACCGCAGTGAGCTCCCGGGAGTGCTCCCTGATGGATTGATGTCCATTTAAACTGGCCCGTCCAGCACCAGGGAGGAGGTCGAGGGGTTGAGGAGGAAGAGGAGAGGAATAATGGAAATACAGGGAAAAAGGAGGTGTTAAGACAAAAACAAGGGAGCTGTATGTTCGTGCTGAATGCAGCGCCAGAGGGAGGCAAGGGGACTTGGCTTCCCAGCCTCTTGATTCGAAGCTGAGATTTTTATCTCTCTCTTTCTTTACTTCCCCTCAACACATACTTTGCTGTGTCTTCTATTCACTTTTCGTCTTCCTTTTTTTTTTTTTCAAACTTTCAAATACGCCGTACGTAGAAAAAGCATTTCCTCATGCTGGCGGCGAGCCAAGTGTCAAGAACTAGACAATAACAAGGTATTCTCAAGGTGCGCTTTCTAAAAGAGGGAATTTGGAATGTGAGATGATTGGAGTTGGCCACATCCGTAGATGCGGTCTGGTAGGCGGAGGGGGGGGGAATAGAAGATGGTGAGACAGAGAGAAAGAGGCAAATGAAAGAAAGACGGAAAGAACGGAAGAGAGGAAGCGGGCGCAAGAGATTAGCAGCAAGCACACCAGTTGAGAAAGAACTTGCAGAAGGATGAAACGGTACCATTTGTAGGAGAACATCTCTCACATCCGTTCTCCTTTTCTGAAGAGGGGACTCCCAGAACCACAATGGAGGAACTTAGAGATTGGCAATAGTATAAAGGAAGACTAAGGATGGTTGTAGAAGACAGAAATTGAGAAAAACAGTCTATTCATTCTCGCACTTCATTGTTGGCAAGGTGAGACACAACCAGGCCCAGCAGGCTTCATGCCACTGAAGGCAGATAGCAATTGGGCAGGA